ATATTTATGCCTATATCTTGTGCTGGCTATAAATTAAACATACATAGTCAACCACCAGTTTTTCCTGATGGCAATTTATTTGTGTCTATGAATTATGCTTTGTAGCCAGATAGTAAACATACGAAATGCCAGATTCAAGCATTCAAAGATTCAAGGATTTAAGAAAAAGTAACTTTGATGATTTTGGAACATTTGGTTTGGAAAAAATAACCTAAAGTTTCAGTTCAGAAATGCATACGTTCATTTTAGCATGTAGTTTAGGAGGATATACATACTCTGTATCATCTTAATGTAGGTAATCAGTTACCCAAGGTTTGAAGAAGTTTCTTCCTCAAACACAACCCTTCTTGACTCCTTTGTGCATTCTATACTGCAATCTTACTAAGTCTAATTGAGGATAGATTTGGAAAAGTAGTCATCTTAATTGTCTATTTGTGTATCTACAGGGTTTTTTCTGGCTGATATGTGCTTTCCTTGACATGCTTAAATCTCACGTAAGGTTGTCCAAATCAGGTGCAGATTAGCCTGTTAACATTTGAGCAATATTCATTGCCTTTATGTGCCATCCATGTTCATTTTCCCTGATTCCCACTGATCACATATGGTCAGAAATAGTAGAAGGATATATTCTGGTTGGTCTCTGCTCTCTGGATCTGTAATACAAGAAAGCTGCATCATTGTAAATTTGTTGGTTTGTCAGTCTTTTCTCATTGACAAATAGCTTGCAGAAGGTGTTATTTTTTTAAAAAAATAAATATAATGTTGTCCTTTTCATTACCCAAATAAAATTGAATTTCTCAGTCATAAACTCCTTCCTAACCCCTTTCTGCGGCTGCAAAAGTCGAAGAAATTCTATGCTGTTCTATATATTTCAACTTCTTCCAGTTTATTCCCACTAAAGCTGTTTATACATTTATAAAATACAAATTACATCAAATGTCACTTTTATATCTGACTCCCTGAGGCAGTTTGTCAGTGTGGGTTATGACCCCCCCTGAGACAGAAAACCAAGAAAAGAAGAACTGAACTTTTGTTGGTTGTTGGTAGTGGTAAATCTTCAAGCATGCGAAGCATGACAAGATAAAAAAAGCTCTTACAAAATATCACTGGTGCATTTTCTTTCACAAAGTATGTGCAATATATGATAGAAGAGGGAGAGCAGTCTATTGTTTAACTTGCATTCTTGTTTTAAAGCACTGTATGAAAACCTAATGTCATCTGGATATCATAGCAGTCCTTAGCATATAATTACATGGGACCAATATTACTTGATCAAAGTAAAAGAAAAAGCTCTTATTTTTTTATAAGCCATCTGCCACAAACCATTATCATTTACTTAGGCCCTAAGTTACAGATTCCATTTTAATAGTTCTGTTAGTGTTTGGGTGGTTTCTATGAAGATTATTCAATAAACATTGTCCAGAAAAAGCTAGATACTTTTAATGCATAATCCTCTGGAATGTTTATTAAACAATAACACTGAACTTTCTGACAGTTTTATTTCTGAGAATGTTACAACATTATTATGCATCCCACCGGTAATTCTGCATTACTGAAAACTCCCGTGCAATGTATTGAGTCTTACCAAAAGCAGATGCAGCCAAATTAATAAGTGCATCAGTGCACTGTGGAAAGCCATATGGTGGGAGGCTGGCTGGGTGGAAAAGAATGCAGAAAAGAATTCTGTTTCACTTTTGCAACAAAAAGTAACAACTGAAATAAAGAGAAACAGTAACATAAGGATTTGAAAATCCAAGCCTTAGAAGTAGGTTCACGGAAAAGAGTGTTTAATCACGCGTTATATATTTACAGTTTAATGCAGAGTCTCTGAACAAATTGAATTTAGATTAATTATAGGATGAAGAGGTTCTAAAAAATATTTTAAACCCTAAATGTTCTTGAGTTTACGTTTGTGAATAGGTTTCTGCTTGTCACATTTTCTGTGAGGCCACCCTGCAAGGATCCTTTTATCACCTGTTAAATAGATGCTATTCCTCTTAACTAACCACAAAGAAAGCTCAGCCTAAGGTTCAGTACACTTAATACAATGCCTCCAAAGAAGGGAAGACTTCAGATAAAACTCACTGCTTGGCCATAATGAACCTGGTAAATGTTGGTTTCCTGCAATAAAAATAATAGGTGAAATCTTGGCCTGTTGAAGTCAATGGGAATTTTGCCATTGATTTTAACAGGACCAGTATTAAAACCAATAAATCTACTGAGCAAACTAAAAGAAGTGGGTGAAGGAAGGAAGGGGAATTAATGTAACAGAACCTCTACATTATTTCAGTCCTTGTTCTACTCTTCTTTGCATGAGTGAATAGCTCCTGAGATGTGCTCATAGAAACTATTGTGGCAGTGTACCGAACACCAAATATTTACAAAAGCATTTAATGAGTGGTTCTGAAACAGGAAAATCAGCTTTGTTGTTATAATGAGTCAGTCTCAGATTCAATCAGAGGCTGTTTTAGGGGTGAGTAACCAAGGGCAATTGCCCAAGACTGGATACCATGGGGAGTGTGTTAGACCACAATAATTAAAAGTACAAGTTATCCAATATGCCTCAATCTATGCCTGTGTTCTTGCTAGTCAAAACCTGCTGTAGCTCTACACAAAGGCAATTAGAGCTTTCAAATGCAATGCTTTCTGTAGTGTCAATAAATATGAATAAATAACAGGCAAAAAAATTAGTTAGACATATAAATGTCTTTTCGTCTTTTTACATTTATATCACTATCTGTGTTTCTGATTTCTGATATGTAATAACTCTAGCTACCACATTTTTGCGTGGGTTTTCCTGCAGAAAGCTGTGGACTTACAAATCAAGCACTGTACAGCCACACGACAGACATGTTGTGGTCCTATCTGGAAACAAAAGACAGTGGATGTGAGGAATTGTATGTGTTGGTATCCCATCATGGGCAGTACCATGACTTGAGACTCCTGTGTTTCATTAGGTGGTGACAGCTGTGGGACAAGATTGAACTTCTTATTCAGGAGTTCCAGCATCTGGACCAGAATACAGAGAAAGAAAATCATCCAGTTTGTGGGGCTCTTTCATAGGGATTCTTTGCAACCAAGGGATAGTATGTAAAAAAAAAAAAAAAGGGTTATAAAACAACAAGAAGCAAAGAGTGGCTAAAAATACATTAAAATACATTTTCTGATGTGAAAGAGGAGATATACAGGCAAAATATTTCTGAACATAAAAGCATGGTGTAGAAATGTGATGGATCTGTAAAATCTCCCTTGATCTAGCTTAATATCTGTAATATTTATCTCACAGTAATAAACTAAAACAGAGGAATAAACTTACACTGGGAGTGGAAAATGGTGGCATCTGTTGCAGACAGACATTGTTTTGCAATATACAGTTTTCCTTGGCTGTTAAACATCATTTTAATACTTATCAGAGTATTAAACAATAAATTTTCCCCACCACTTAGAACACTCTGCAATTTTCTGGCCCAGAGTGTTCACCTGGACTTTCAAGCAAATGTTTTTGTTGTCTGAAACTGGTGGACATCTACTTTGGTTTTGACCATCATGGGTATTAAATGCTTCTCCAAACTGGGGTAAACAAAGAAACAAACAGACAAATCACCAACTGTCCAATGAAGAAAATATTTTACATTGTGACAGTGTTCTTTCTCTGTATAAATGTTTATAAAAGCAGTAGGAGGTGCACTTAAATGATAGAATTTGTAATAAATCTTTTGTGAGCTTAGCTGATGCAGTTTATCAGAACATCTAACAGTAGTAACCCTAAGCATAGGTATGCTTATAGATAAGATGAAAGCAGCCCTTATTAATCACACTGTATATCTGACTCCTGCTCCTTTCTTCAGTCTTTAAATCAACTCCATCTGGTTCTTACTACTTTCACAATGAAACATGCTTACTGCTGCAGAAGCGGATTTAATGTGATTTAAATTATTAGGTAAAACAGTGGTTGCTTAAGTCTGGAATCAGCTAACGATAAAAAACAATCAGCGACAAAATTAAACTGAGGACCAAATCTTCACTGAGTGTAAATTGGCTGGACTCCAACTGATTTCAGTGGAAGGTATTGAAAACAATGTTCTGGGCCACCTTTCTTTATGTTAATACTTTATGGAGCACGCCAAGCAAGGTACCAGAACAATGCCTGTATAAGTAAGAAACAGGCTCATCATATTTCAGACTGGACCTAGGTTTCTGGTCTGCTGTGGCAGGGTGAGGACCTAGGTAGCAAGAAGGGAAAGGCCCTGCCTATGTTAACTAAAACAAACTGAAACAAAAAGTCCCGCTCTCTCTAAGGCGCCCGGTTTATTTAGAGGCTCCTAATTCAGATTCTGTTCAACAACTGCAAATGCAAGACAAATAGTATTAAAACAACTAAAGCAAAAGAAGAAAATGGCTTTCTATTTCTTTTGGTCAACAACTTCCCTCTTTTTTTGCTGTGACAGCATCTCCATTCCTTTAAAATTTCTTGGTCATGGCTAAACTCAGCTGTGTTCATTGCTGAGTTTGTGAAACTATTTGTAGAGGTCTAACTCAGTAAAAAATTGTATTTCTGAACAACTGTGACATAGGTACAATCCAGGGGAGGTAGGATATGGTAAGATCTCTTCCAGGAAGGATTCACATGTAAGTTAACGACGTACATGTAGGACCTGGAGTTTCCCTGTGGTGTGCTTTGTTCTTTTAGGCATTCAGTTTGCAGCTGCCATGACATCTTTACCACAAAGGCTCACTGCAACCTCAACACAGATGGAGGCAGGCAGGGCCTGCTCCAGCTCATGCCAGCTGGCCATGATACTTGGAAAAACATTGGGACTCTGTGATTGGACGGGCTACCCAGATAGTCAGGTCCCTAACCCAACAGTCTCAGGGTCAACTGAGACTTGGGCTCCACCTGAAAATGCTGGAATTTCCCCTTTTGGCAAGAATGCCAGCTACCCACCCTTATGTCTAAACAGGTAAAAAAACCCACAGCTACAACCTTTTCTTGTTTACAGCTTGAGAACTACATTGTGGAAAACATGAAATCTGAGATGGTGCAGCTGCAGCAGAATGCTGTGCAGAACCATACCGCCACCATGCTCGAGATAGGGACCAGCCTCCTCAGCCAGACAGCAGAGCAGACAAGAAAACTCACGGATGTTGAAACCCAGGTATGTTCCCAGAGTGGTTTTCTAAAAGCTGTTAATTGCAAAGAACTGTTCTAATGCATCATCACATAAAACTTTTCAACACAGGGCTCTAGGAAACATACATACTGTTTCTTGGTACCAACAGGGGTGATGACTGACCCTTGTTATGTGTCTTTCTTTTGATTTCATTAGTTAATATATTTAGCTCTGTGTGTGTAAGGCAGGCAGGACAGTCCAGGAAACTAAATCAGCATTTGACTTCAAGTAAACAGGCCGGCTACCAACTGTGAATGATACAAGTGTCAAGCTAAATAACGAGTTTCAGGCTAAAATAGAGCCTTTGATCTCCATTGTTTTTTGCCTCTTTACTACTACAAGAAAGTTTGTTTATTAACTGCAAGATGTTTCCAGCTATTTGAAAAGCAGTATATGTCTGCAGCTTTTAAACTGTGAAGAGAGAGGGACAAGCATCAGCTTCTTTCTAAAACACTGTGTATTTGTTATTACTATAAAATTGTATAACATCACATGAATTTAAAGAGCCATCCCCATATGATTCCTAGCACTAAAATCTCTGTTGTGACTGAAGTGACGAGAGTATCACTGTCATAACAGAGAGTATGCTTTCGTACTGGGCTTATTGCAAATATACATACTATTTGCATTTTGAATTCTTTTATCAGTTTAATATGCATATTTTTTTTCACTATTTTTGCTGACTTCCTCTTGATCTTCGTAGCATGTGGTATATTACCAGCTGCACTGTATTCGCTGTTCATTTAGAACAGGGGAATTAAAGTATTGCATTTGTTTGGTTTGTCCTAGAAGCATATGCACTTCGTGAAAGATCATATTTTCTGTTCTAATGTCCTTACTCACATTTACAATATCATTACCAATTTTTTGCGTAGTCACAATACAGTACTCTGAGAAACAACAGTAATTGTGAAAGACAGATACACTGTCTTACATAGGTTCCCTGCACCTTTTTTCTTCGTTGTGGTTAATAGATCAACATTCACTTAGAAATGTTGTGATCTCAAGTGACCACAGTTTCTAAAACATTGTATAATGATTTATGAAAATGTTGAGGAAAATCTTTAATTCAGTATCAACAGAATATCTAAATGGAAGCATAAGGGATAAAGACCTATGGACTTTAGTACCGTATGTTCAGTAAAGAAAGAGGTGTAGAAACTCTTCTTATATCCCCAAAGGCCTACATAGGTATAAGTGTTGAGTACTCATTCATGGTTTCCTCCTTTAAGCATGTAAAGGACAAAATGTGCATTGCCTCTGTCTCACTTTTCCTTTGAGGAACCACTTCAAGGTAGACGTGTCACTGGCAACTGCATGAAGGAGCAGATGACTTCTTCCTTCTAAACCTATTGCTGAAGATTTTAAGGGGTGTTCAAAATATCAGTGGGAGCGGCTCTTTCTTGTTGCAGTACTTGCTCTGACTTTCAGATCAGTGATGGCATTTCCCACGTCCCATCTTTCAGCAGTATGAGAAAGTCCTTGTAGTCCCTGGCTCTACCATCAATCAGAAGAGTGGTGCAGGTGGCTCAAGAAAGTGAAAAGAGACTGCTTTTGGCCACGATGGAGGTAGCCAGTTGCATGGCAGAGAAGTGAAGGTCTGTAGGATACAAGGAGGAGAAAGGTGGTCCAGGATCTCATGCCTGTAATAAGCAGTACCCATACTAGGGTAAGAAGGAGTCTGAAGGCCTGAAGATGGAGCCTCCACCTCCTTAAAATCTCACTGACCCCTCCCAATCCCTGATCTATCCAAAATCCCGCTGATTCCCTTTAGGCTTTCCTCTCTGCCAGAAGCTCTACTGGTGTTTTGTAGGCTGCTCCACAGATATATCCTCTTTGGAAATCTGTTAGTGCTTTCCTGTCTTCTTACCCCTTGCCAACCTTCGTAATACACCTTCAACTTCTGCCAGGTCCTTCTGAAACTGTAGTGATGCCTCCTGGCACTTCCAAATGTATCCATCTTGAACAACATAACAGCTGCACACTGGTAATTTCCATTTTTTTCAGCTCCTGTACATTTAAAAAAAGGACAACTCAAATTGCTTTGTGAATGTCAACAATTTCAAACAAAAATAAGGCACTGGATTTGAGTTTGAGAGCCATTCTCTTTGCTTTATAGCCTACAACACATTCCTATAGGGATTGCAGGAGAAAATATTACCATACAATCCTATCATGGTACTGGTGAATGTCCTTCCAAGAAAGGTCTGATAGGTTCCATTAAAGAGGCACCATTTTCAGTTCCAGAAGTGATTGCATCTCAACTGTTATGTGCACACATATCTCCAAAAACTATTTACACACACTCCTTCATATTTTATGTAATAAGCAACGATATCCCAACAAAATCAACTAATATTAATTAATATTATTGCTTTCATTCTTGAAAGCATTCTGTTATTTCCAGTTTTTAACTATTTTTGGGGGGAGTCTATTCTCTTTCATCTAGTTAAAAGGCTTCTTTCAGTCTTATATATTTAGTAAAGCTTGTGCTATTGATACAGAACACCACTAAAGTAAAAGACAATTGCATAAAGCAATGTTTAGGATCACAGCCTTCATCTTAAAAATCTGTGTAAGAGTGCAAGTAGTGATAACATAAGCAGACACCAGACTTCTGCCAACATTGCTGAAGAGAGAACTCAGAGGAAAGCTAAAGTAGGAGCTCTATTTACAAAACAGTGGATGCAACACTTTGGATTCAGTCCAAGTACCCTTGCACTCTTCTAGTTTAAGCATGCTTTGTAGGACTGCATGTTTGAGGCATGCCTCTTGTTCTTTCCACTGAAATGAAGCTTATTTGGCAGTCACCTTTCCTTTTTCTGCTAGCCTAGTATTATTCTACTGTAAACAGGGTGATAGAATATCAGCTGGTACGTATCAGTCTAGCTTGATTGAATTCGTTTGCATCAGCTGAGCAGCTGAGGTTAAAAAAGAATTTAGAAACAATTTTTGATGAATCATCAGGTCAGAATGAAATGCTTACATTATGTTGCTGTAACAACGTAACTGGGACAATACAAACAATGTTTTTAATTTATCCTTAAGGTGCTAAATCAAACATCCAGACTTGAAATTCAGCTACTGGAAAATTCACTGTCAACGTACAAGCTAGAAAAACAGCTGCTACAACAGACACATGAAATCCTGAAAATTCATGAGAA